TTCGAATTTTAAATTCCAGTGTTCGTTCCACAAAATCTGCTAATATATAATTGCTTATTTGTTGAATTTGATTCGATTTGCTACGTAAATTAAATAGCTAAATTTTGTTTTAATTTGAAGATTTAAAATCCGAGTAAAAACACGAATTAAGAAGTCGCCAAAATCCAAGTAAACGTTGACGTTGATGGCAATTTCAAGCTTCCTTATCCAACAAAATCATATCCAAATTAAACACCGTCATTTCATATGCCAAAAAACGGCACTCCGAATTTCCTCCGCTTCTCTCTCCCAATCTGTTACTCTTCTTTTTATAACTACGTTCGCTCAGTACTATGCTTCGCATTACTGCAAGTTTTGTTGCTGCCATTAGAAAGCACAAAGAAGAAATGCAAATGCAGAAATTCTCATCCTTCCTTCGATCATCGTCTTACAGACTCTCCACCTTCAATGAAATGCTTTTGGCCTGCCACAGTGTCGTCTTCACTACTTGCTTCCCACTCATTCTACTCACTTTCCTTATGGTCTTCTACCACTACCTCCGCAGCGGGCCCTTCTCCATCTTAAACATCTGGTTTCTTTCCCTTGCTTCCTCAATCATCCTAATAAAGTCCGGCCTTTTTCTACTCCTACGCCGGAAAAAGCCCGTTGAATGGTTTGTTGGGGACGAGGAGAACCCCACGGTTTTTGCTGGAGCAAGCATTGATAATCGGGTAGGTACAGAGTTGTACTCTAATGGGGATTCATATGAAGGGGAGCTTTACTTGGGGAAGTTCAACGGGAGTGGTGTCTATGATTTCTTCGAGCGAGGGAGATACGAGGGCGATTGGGTGGACGGGAAGTGCGATGGCTATGGGATCGAGCGGTGGGGGAAGGGAACACGATACTATGGTCATTATCGCAAGGGCCTATATCATGGTTTTGGTGTCTATCAATTCAACAAAAGCGTCGGCTATGCCGGTGAATGGGCTCGCGGACAAAGCAACGGCTATGGAGTGCTGAGATGCTCGGATGGTGGCTGCTATGTGGGACAGTTCGAGTTTGGGGTGAAACATGGCTTAGGGGTCTATCATTTCAGGTATGATATATTCACATATGCGGATTAATGATATTAAATTGATATTGGGGCCAATACCATCCCAACGAATTCCAATAATCCACACATAATTCACACATATTATGTTTGCACGTAATATTTTTTATTCAAAAGTCAAGATTTTTAAACTTTTATTTGAGGATTTTTATATAAATTCATTAGTAATGGCGATAAATATGCGGGTGCATATTTCGGCGGAATGGCTCATGGATTTGGAGTTTATTACTATGCCAATGGTGACTGTTATGAAGGCTCATGGCAGGAAGGCGTGCAGCAAGGTTTCGGAATGTACGCCTTAAGAGGTGGAGGTGTTAAGTCAGGAGAATGGAACTATGGAACTCTCAAGAACTCCCTCTCTCCTGCACACCCTCAAGTTTACAGCTTTGCTCAGGTATAGAATTGCTTAATTCAATATGAAAGAAATGAATTGTCTTTATATACATTAGACTTATATGAGCTTAATTTCAATTAATTGAATATTGGTAGAGTGGAAGAAATGCTGCAGAGAGGGCAATTCTTTTGCCCACTGTGGAAGATGAACTCAACCGAGCTGTTTCTGCTGCAAACAGAGCTGCCGCTGCAGCTCGCGTCGCTGCCGTCAGAGCTGTTCGATACCGTGAAGAAAGAAGCAAAGCTTGGCATCTTCTAACTGAAAGCTTTCGCTCTCATGTGTCGAAGTTCGTTAATTTGCTAGCTTGTTCTGGACGGGGATGGAGATTTGAATACATTGGCTGATTTTTAATGTTCTGCAGGAAAGTGATTAGGATTATTTTTTTTAATTTGTTTATTTTGTTTTAGTTGAAATGTTACATTTTAATTATTTGAATGCATAATTTTAATTCAATTCATTTTTAGGTTGCAGAATGAGTTAATTTTATACTCTTGCACAAGTGATGATTTTAATTTAAATAATTTCTTTGTGTTTATCTGTTAATTTTTTTGCCTCGAAGAAAAATTATAATTTTTTAAAAAATAAATAATAATAATAAATAAAAGATCCGCCTAGTTAGTATTTAATAAGCTGAATATATTTTTTATAGATTTATGTTACTAGGCCGGAGATATTAAATTATTTTATTTGATAATATTTAATTTTAGATGTTAAAAAGTTAAGTAGAAAATTGTGGCCCATATCGACGTGCATATAGTGTTTTTTATGTTGCTCATATGAGCAGTCACATAAACAAAATGTCGTCATAATTGCTTAATCAAAGGACCAAATTTATGTGAAATTTGCCACCCTCTTCATAATTTACTTAATAGAAATATACGTATTTATAATGAAGTTTGCAATATACATTGATATTTTTATAAAGGCCTTACATGAGGTTATTTATAAACTAGGGCTTTTATAATGTTTAAATGATGATAATTGGTTAAATTCAATTAAATAATTATGTTCATGCAATGACGATCGAACGATGGTGAACAAATTATAGTGATCCTGTTGGTTCCAAGTTAATGGATCGTTGAATGACAAATTGAAAAGGAACAATGAGAATAGACTTTCGGAAATTTCTTTCTATTATTTGAAGAAGGAAAAATACAGGTCTTCAGAGCGTTTTACATTGTAACATAACAACCAATTTATACTAACTAATGCATAACCATAACGTAATAAAAGGAAAAATGTACAAAATAATCGCAGGCATTAAGTGTCATCAATTTGCTCCTATTATAAATCTATATTTATTCCACTAATTGTGTAATCAATTCAATTGACCAATTCAAGATTAGTCTCACAATCTCCCCCGTAAGCTTGATTTGGTTCGAAATTGTTTACGCCAAGCGGCTCTCGCATTTTCGCAAATTTGACTATTGCTAGAGCCTTGGTGAGAATATCCGTACACTGCTCTCCGGTGCTTACGAACTTCACGATGATCTGTCAATTCTCGACACACTCACGAGTAAAGTGCTCCGCCTGTACCAACTGCATTTGCCGCAACTTTTGCGACAAACTTACGAACACCTGCCGCAACTCCTTGTGTGAAGAACCTGCGAATTCCGCTGCAACTGCACCTGACACAACTCATCGTGCGACAAACCTGCAAAGTCCGCTGCAACTGCAACTGCACCTGCCGCAACTTCTCGTGCGACAAACGTGCGAAGTCCGCTGCAATTACACCTGCTGCAACTACTCGTGCGACAAACCTACGAACTCCGCTGCAACTGCACCTATCGTAACTCCTCGTGCGGCAAACCTGCGAATTCCGCTGGCCGAGCTCCTCTGTTTGCAAACGCTTCTGTTCACGGCAACAACACGCGAACTTCTCTCCTCTGCGAAACTGACGAACCACGCAACAGCCTCCTTTCATGGTCATGAACTCTACCTTGTCGAACGTCTTCCCGCGAGCAATCACCAATCGTCGTGACACCCCCTACAAACCAGAAGCACGCCCCTGTGACTTGTCGCTACTCGAAGAACTGCAGGAACCGTCGCCGCTCCACCTGTTCTGCGCGAACTGTCGCGCCTGTGGTACCGCTCCGCTGCTAAACTGCTTCTGTGGACTGCTTCCCGTCCGAACTGCTTCTGAGAACTGCTTCCCATTGGACTGAACTCTTCTGAAGGCAGAGCCTCGATAACTGCCGCGAAGCATCCGCCTGCTGCCGGAACTGAGACCTCTCCGAGGCTTCCTTCTCCTGCTAACCTCCGCACAACTGGCGACTTTGTTCGTAGTGGTAACTGCTAGCACCAAACCGGCGAACTCTTACAGTGGCGATCTACAAATCACCGCACAAGCTTGACAGAACTCCTTTGTTCGATTGCTAAATTTGTTGAAGCTGAAAATCACTATTTTCCCTTAATTAAGTATTCTTCTTAATTAAGTTTCCTTGAAAAACCAGTTTCCTTTTCCGCGATCGACAGCAGAAAGTTCTCCTTATTTAATCCTTTCCTTCTCCGCAATTGACAGCAGAAAAGCTTTCCTTAATTAAGTCCTTTTTTCTCTGCTCCATTAATCTCCCCGATTAACGGGGAATATTCCCTGATTAGGGAGGAAATTTGATTCCTTGCCGAGCTTGCCTTGCTTCCCTTATTCAGGAGAGAATATTCCTCGATTCCCTTCCAAAGTTGGAGTCCCTTCTCAGCGCCGAATCCTGGGGAGAGCCCTCGACCGCTCCCCGTCTTCGCCTTCCTTAGCGAAAGGAAATTTCTGATCCGGAGAAATGTTTGAAATATTTTCAATTAAATATTTCCCTTAATTTTGCTTCCCGGAATTGAATTCCTTTAATTAGGTCCTTAATTAAGTATTTGTCTCAATTAAGTTTCCAAGAATTTCTTCTCCAGCAATCTTACCTTAATTAAGTTTCCCTTAATTAAGAATTTGCCTTAATTAACTATCTGATAAAGGCAGTTTCTTCTCTCAGAATAAAAATTGTTAATCCCACAAGAAATTAATTAGTTTCCATATTATTCCTCCTACTAGGAATCCAAGATTCCCTCTCTTGTCCGCTTCCAGCGCCGAACTCTTCCGCAGCGCCTCTCGCGAACACCATGCTCGTTCTCTGCAGGCCCTGCTCGAACAACTATCTGCTTCGCCCGATCTGTCGTGAACCTCGCCGCACCTAAGCCCTTCGCGCGAACACCTTGGCCGGCCTTCTGATTCGCGAACAACCTGCTTCCCGCGATCCCGCTTCACTCGATCGTTCTCCTGCTTTGCAGAACTCCACCTCTGCACCGCTCGACTCAAGCCTGGGAAGAAATATTCCTTATTCCCTCTTCTGCAGAAGTCGAACTGCTCTATTCGCGCTTTACCTCGCCGCCGTGCACAAGCCTGGGAAGAACTTCCGTCGCGCACAACCTGGTCCTACGCCGAACTCCGCCCGAACCTCCTTTGTCGCGATTCAAGACGCCCCTTCGCGAGCTTTGCCGGTGAACTACCGAACTGCTGCTTGCGGCTCGACCGACAGTTCCCGAACAGAACAAAACAGAAACCTTTCTGTTCCTCGCCGAACCTCCTCTCCGCAGCCTCCGGAGATAACTTCCCGCAGGCAGTCCGGAACTTCCCTGAGCTGAATCTACTGCAAACTTTTTTCGAAATCCTTCGTTCTTCCCGCGAGCCCGTCTTCCTTGCAAATTTCTTCGCAGCAGCAAAACGAAATAAAATTAGATGAATGTTTTGCGGCCTCCCGAAAATAAATCTTTCACGCCTCCCGATAAAGGAAATTTGAAAAAATTGCCTTCTAATTCTTCTTCCAGCCAAGATTCTCTTCCCAACAAAGAGAATCTGGAACTTGCCCAAGGCCAAATTCGGAACTTCCTCTTTCTATTCTCCTCCTCAGCTAGGAAATAGGAGATTCCTTTATTCTCTTCTTCCTTCACAAAGGAAATTCGCCTCTTCAGGAGGAAACAAAATATTCTTTAGATGGAAATGAAATATTCTTTTATTATTCATTCCTCTGAGTAACTGCAGGAAGGGAATATCCTCTCTTTGCTTGGGAATATTCCTCAATATTCCTCCAGTATTCCTTCTGGGCTTCGACTTGGGGAGACGAAGAGAAAGGGAAAAAAGGACGGTTCCCGTAACTGCTGCTTCCGCAAACCGAAGCCCTGCCCTGCCGTAACCGCCGACGAACACCTTTCTTCCCAATGGAGAACTCTCCAACTTCGCACGAATCCGAAGCCAACCATCTGTTCGCAGAGCCTTGCGAACTGCACGCCAAACTCTGTAGATGTCGTGATTCTCCTCTATCGGGAATGATTGAGCCCGATCTCTTGCGAACGATACTCTACTCTGCAAAACCGCGCCTGTTCGTGAAACCTACGAATCCTTTGTTGCCGCTCGAACCTTTCCTCCTCCCGAGGGTTCCGTATGAGATTTTGCCTTCTCCGAAACTACAGACGAGAGATCTCCTGTCTCGCGATTTCCTCCTCCCACTCGTCCCTGGTCGAGCGAATCACTAGTTTGTGATTTTCCTCCTCTGCGATCCTTCTCTGCTCCTTTGAAGCACCGTGAAATACTGTTTTGCGAAAAACAGAAGAACCCTTGGCTCTGTTCGCAAGCTCCTCTATCGCGAACCACGAACCTTCTTCCGCAGAACCTTGTCGTTCGCAAATATTATCGCGAACCTCATGTTCTGCTTGTCGGCGCTTTCCGACAGCAATCTGGTGCGCAGGCCTTCCCCTCCGAAGCCTCCGCGTTCGCTCCCAGCAGCCTTCCGCACCGAGCGTTCGCAGACTGCGTCGTGATTTGCCTGCTCTTCCTCTCGAACCAGGCTCTGATACCAAATGTTGGTTCCAAGTTAATGGATCGCTGAATGACAAATTGAAAAGGAACAATGAGAATAAACTTTCGGAAAATTTCTTTCTATTATTTGAAGAAAGAAGAATAAGGTCTTAAGAGCGTTTTACATTGCAACATAACAACCAATTTATACTAATCAATGCATAACGTAACAAAAGGAAAAATGTACATAATAATCGTAGACATTAAGTGCCATCAATTTGCGCCTATTATAAACCAATATTTATTCCACTAATTGTGTAATCAATTCAATTGACCAATTCAAGATTAGTCTCACAGATCCAACTACTTTGATGGTAGTTGATTAATCATATTTATGGGTGACAGTAGTTAATTATAGTCGAGCAAAATTTAAAAGTTCTTCATATCTCAAAGTTCTCTATAAATTTGTGTACAAGCCCTCTTTAATGTGGAGAATGTTGCTTTGTCTATACTTATGCCAAAATTTTAAATCACCTCTCATTGAACATCTCACATTGATTTCGTTGTCACAATCTATCCTTTT